CCACCACCACCACCACCCACAACAACAACAACAACAACACCAACACCAACACCAACACCAACACCAACACCAACAACAACAACAACAACTACCACCACTACTACTACTACTACTACTCCTCCTCCTCCTGCTGCTGCTGCTACAGCTACTGCTACTACTGCTACTACTGCTGCTACTACTACTACTACTACTACGATGACTATGACTATGGCCACTACGAAAACTGGTATTTCACAATACTAAGAAATACAAACGCTAACATAACCACTAACCCACTAGCAGCCACTAGCACTCCCAACCAAACTCCTTAGAAACACACAGGAGTCACACATGCCATTAGCATCAACTGCTCCTCATGAAGGTCAGCACCGATCGTCTGCGGCACAACCTGCGACAGTCGTTTTACTTTCAGAGGCGAGGTCGGAGGGCTTCAACTGCCAGAGCGAAAAGATGGTCGCGTGGGGTGGGTAGTGCAAGGAGGGCAGGCCAGAGCTGAGCAGGGCATGGGGCAGGCGGCAGGGCACGCAGGCAAGACAAGGTAGGGGAGAGATTTCCTCCTCCAGGCACGTCACAAAAGTTTTCTTGGTTGATCTTGAACGGCTGGTTCGGGTCAGGTTCCCTCTAGCGCTTGAGGCTGGCATCATTTTGTCTGCTGGATTTCGACCTGACCGTCTTGAGCAATAAGGTTTGAGCCACAGCCAGCTCAGGAATTCCGCTGACACACAGTTCGACACTGCCGGATTAGGATGCACAGCAACATGTACTGTCAAACATTTACTATGAGGCCAAAATGCGCGCGATCAAAGAATCAGGCTGGTTCCAGACTGGCTCTTCCACAGCTATTTAAGCCACGAAGCAGCATGATGCTGCATTGGTTAGCGGCTAGCAGATTTCAACACCGAGCTATCGCTGGACCCCTCGCGACAAGGCAGACACGAGGAAACCCCGGGTGCAAACACCTTGCAGAGTACGTTACGGCACAGAAGGCTCCATTATATCTGAATGTGCAATTTACCTTTTCGGCTTGGTTCAGTGTCTTCAGCGTGGGCAGCTTTCACCCAACAGTCACGAGCCAAGCAATGCTGCGACATTGCGATGTTTCATGTCAGAACATGGAACGTCAGGGACTTCGTCTTCGGATGCTTCGAAGATTCTCGAGACGGGGGCGTGCTGGTATCGAAGCCCATCTTCTGAGCTAGAAGTCTGAAAAAAAACAATGCAAAGGCTGAACGGCCTCCGTGGAGGCCATGGCAAAGGCGAATTATTACATGCCTAACGTAACTGTCTAACAGAGTCTGCCCTAACAAACATCGTTCCCTTGTTCTTAAGCCAGTCTGCCCTTAGTCCTAAGCCATGTGGCATGCAGTCTTGCGTTGGTTGTCGTCGTGCAAGAACGCGAGCCATGGATCATTTGCCTCTTCAAGCTCGCTGTGCGCTCCTCATGAATGTGTTATGATCGCTTTCTGAGCCCACATCCATGTGCATAACGTCGAGACGGCTGATTCCTGCCTGAGATTAAAGGGGACACCCTGCAAACCGACTCCTGTAGATTTGATTTTCGCACTTCCTATGCAGCATGGGACTTGCCAGAACAATTGAAGGTTGCAGCTGGTCTTCTTGCTGGAATGTCCAGAGCCGGGTCAAGGTATGCTGGCTTGCACTTGTTTTCGCATTTCCTGTTGTACTACTACTACTACGACGACGACGACTACTACTACTACTGCGAGCGGTAGACTTATGTCGCGGCAGTGTTCAACAAGTCGCGGCACTGCCGGGCCACGCAGCATAAAGTGAAGTCGCAGGAGCCGAGAAGTCATTATTGCACAGAATGTGTTGTTCGAGGAAATCCCCATTGACACGCGGTGTTGCAGGCCTGTTCGGGCGAGCCTCAAAACAACAGAAATCAGGTCGACACGCTGGCAAACTGCAAGGTTTTCGTAGATCATAGCATGCAAAACATGGAAATCCCCATTGACAGGTGCCCTTCAGAAGCAGGAGCACTGAGGGTCTCAAGAGGGGTTTTCAACGGTGCAGCAGTAGCAGTAACAGTGTGAGTGCGTGTGCACAAGTGTGCAGAGGTGGAGGTGTGCGTTTCCAGCGCAAAACGACTCACAAGCAGCCGCACACGAGACACAGACACACACAAGTGATGAAATAACATCACAGCACATCATTGCCAGCCGTTCCCCATGAATGTAGACGCGTTGTTCCACGAGCACCTGCTCGAGACACAAGTCTCATCACGACACATCAAACCCAGCCATTCCGCGTGCACATGCTCAATTCACAAAACAGAAGCAGAGGCAGGAGCAGCACTTGTAGCAGTAGCAGCAGCAAGAGCGGGGGCACCGACAGGAGATGGAGCAGGAGCACGAGCAGCACTAGCAGAAGTACTATGAAGTACTTATAGCAGGAGCAGGGGCATGGGCAGGAGCTGCAGCAGCAGCAGCAGCAGCAGTCGTAGCAGCGTGACAGCGGTTGCAGCTGTAGCTGTAGCACTAGTGGCAGCGATCAGCAGTTCACCCTTACCCACACGCACACGCGACGACTTCCACAAGACGCTATGACTTAGGTCAACCTCCCTGGACTGCTGCTGCTGCTGCTGCTGCTACTACTACTACTACTACCACTACTACTACTACTACTACTACTACTACGACTGGTACTGCTGCTAGTACGACTCGTAAGACTGGTACGAATGGAACTATTAGTCTTGCTAGTACGGCTAGTTCTGCGAGTGTTGCTTCTGCTTCTTCTTATGCTTCTGCTGCTCCTTCTAAAACTCCACCCCGTGCTTTGCATCCGGGTTTTGGGAAGTCGGCCGGGAAAGTAACCAAAAGTAGCATCCACTGCTATCCCTACTGGTACGACTGCGATCTGCTACTACCACTACTCTTGCTAACCCGTGCAATGCTGCGCTGCTGCTACGACGACTACTCGTACTACTACTCTATAGTACTACTCACCAACTACCAGCTGCTTTCTACGAACTCCAAACCTCCGACCTGCTACACTACTGACACAGTACCAACACCAACACACTCATGCCCTGAACGCACTCTGACCTGTGGGGTTTACGGTCCGACATTCTGACACTTTGCCGGTGCGCACTTTCCAGCTGGCTCTTCCGCCATCATGGCAGAAAGCACTCCTCACATCTCCTCACTGGCACCAGACACTACAAACACCATGCTTTGTTCTGGGTGTCATGGTTGAAACAGCTTCGCCCGCGGAATTTTCTGTGTCAACCTGTAAGCTCACAAGACTTTCTGATGTGGTCGCAGTCTGGGAGATGCCTAAAGATGCAAGAAGATTCAGCCTTCATGTTTCCAGTGCCGGCATGCGCAGCAGAAAATTGAAACGGGGCCATCAGTTGGTTCTATCCCAAGCCCTCGTGGGTGAAACTCAGGACCTGCTGCAGGCAAACTGACTGCACGTGCAGTTGCCGTGTACCTCACCAATAAGTATGACTCACAGCAGAAGGATGCATTAGACGCGAACTGCTATAGTTGGTGGTGCTGTATCGAATCCATCGATGTCGTGCAGTCTTTGCCTATCGCATGTCTGGGTTTGCGAAAATCTGCACAACTCGGCGTGGAGGTGCAAACACACTCTGCTCAGTGCGGCAGCACGAGCCCGGAGTGAGCAAGACGCTCTCGGTCTTTAGCTTCACCGCTTCTTATCACGGCCATTCTTTCTGACTGCTAGTATCTTAGACTATTGCTCTGCCAGGGTTGTTACGACGAGACTCTTCTTTATCTAAGGTGCCGGCAACATGCATTCTGCAAGTTGCGTCGAAGCTGCTAGAGAATCAGCATTAGTCGTTGTCTTGATGGTGGAACGGCACCTCGTAGAACATCTTGCGAACCTGCGGTTATGGAAGAAACAAAAGCCTCGCACAGCTACACTCGCGGTTGCCTGCAAGGAAGCGCACCCATGGCAATCGACTCAACAGGAATTGCTTCTGGTCGCTGTGACTCCACAAGAACAAGAACTCTGAAACTCAACTCCTTGTGAGCCCCCGGTTTACCTGCTTAGACTTCAGTACGAGCGAACGGCCAACAGTCCCTGATGGTCTTTAGTACGAGCGAACGGCCAACAGTCCCCGATGGTCTTTGTATCAAAGTAGCAACTTAAGTCTGAAACCTGCTGGAACTAATCCTTGATATCACTGGCTGCCGCTAGCTGCTCTTGGTTGAATGCGGCTGACCTTTTCGGTGGCCAACGTCGCACCGCCCAAAGCCGCCCCCGAGGCGACCAGGGGCCAGGAGACAGTGCCCACAATGCCTGCACGCAGTGCAGGACACAGGACAGTGTCCTACACTGTCCTATGATCCTACAGGTGAAAGGGGAATGACATCTTTGAAATAGCGAGCACGGACGGTGACGTCTGCAAAGCGAAGCTTTGCCCTAGCAGAACCCCGAAGGGTGAACTCCGGCCTGCCGAAACGCACGCCAAGGCCTGCAGCTTTTGGATATGGAAGCAGTCGGAGCTGTGGCAAGACTTTAATATCCTGAGATGGCCCATATTATGTGTGTGCGAACGAAATGCACCACTTGCGAGGACAGACACTCACTTCAGCAACGAGTCGGCTGAAGTGCCTTTCAAGCTTCTCATAATGCCGCTCAGGCTACAGACACGTTTTTCATTTTCATTCCTATCTAATGGACAATGGTCGCAGCCAACACTGCAGAGCTTGCTCCCCAAGGCATCCCACAACTGCGTCGCTCTTGACCCCATTTGTTCTGACCGCAGGTTGGAAACGGCCGGGAACACTTTCCGGGCTGTGGAGCCATCCCGACTAAAACACAAAAGCATGCCCGACCCTGCAGGAGCTATGGGATGCTTCTGATTCTGAAAGACATATCTTCCTTCCCCTTTCCGGACACGCCAGACCTGCTAGCTATCAGGGCAAACCCCGTAGGTCTGGTGCACAAAGTCAAAGCCTAGGCCTAGTCTACATCTTTCGCCGCTATTCCTCCCATCATTGGTCAATCCAGAGTCAGAGACATCTGAGACTCCTGCCGAGTACTTGAACACCTTGTTCAGCCTGTTAGTCCACCTGCGACGACTTCGGCATGTTGAACTGTGCCAGTAAACAAATCAGTAAACAGCTGCAAGATCAAATGGCTAGATACCACCGCCAACCACCACGACCACGACGACCACCACGACCATCACCACGATCACCACCACGACGATCACCACGATCACCACCACCACCACCACCAACAACAACAACAACAACGAAAACAACAAGAGAAGCAACATCAGCAACAGCAGCAGCAACTACAACAACAACAACAGCAGCAGCAGCAATAACCAGAACCACAACGCCTCATCATAACCACCACCATCATCGTGACAACCACCCGCGCCAAGCGCACTCGTCATGATGATTATCGTCGTCATCGTCGTCGCCTTCGTCAAGGCCACAGGACGAACCGTCGTCAGTATTGTCGGCAATATATTACTACTGTCGCCATCACCAACATCCTCATCATCATCATCATTATCATCATCATCACCAGGTTCATCTTACACATCATCATGGTGCTGGCTCAGCTTCATCCCGGTATTCGTGGTCGTCATCCTCTCGCAGCACCAACACCAACACCTGCAGCAACCTCAGCAGACAGCAACACTGAACTGATTCGCAGGTGGTGAAAAATCCTTCTTGCTGGTGATGGTGATGATTACTGATATCAACCGTGGCGGTCGCCAGACTGCATTACTTGCAGCGCAGAAACTCTCAGGAAAAGGCCACTCCAATCAAATCCCCGGATCCTACGCTCGGGACCTCAAGGCTTTCTGGCAGCTTGTGCACTGGGATGTATGCGTCCTTGGCTCACTTGGCATTCGGGAGATGGTGCTCACTTTGGCCTGTCCATCCTGACCGGGCGACACCTGTGCCGGCGCCTGAGACTGAGTCTTCTGCTTGTAGGTGTCGAAAAGCAGGTGCTTATCAGGCATCGCCTCAGCATCAATCTGCATTGTTTGCATCTCTTGCAGTGACACTGCTGCAGTCATGCAGCATTTTCAGGGGACAACGTGAGCAATCCGCCATGCAAACCGGTTTCGGCTCTGTTCCATCCTCAGTTGCAACATCCTTGTTCCATGCGACGCTCCGGCCATTTTTTCGCGCATTTCCCGTCCCATCGGCCATCTCTGCCCCTTATCCCTCCACTATACCTAGCACCCCTAAGCTTTAAACTTTAAACCGCCAAAAACTGCCCTAAACCCCTCAAAGACAGGCAGAGCTTGACTCTCCGGCTCCTTGGACCCCAACTGCCATGTCCGTGTCGACACCTGGGCTCCAGGCCTGGGCAATTCGGCAGAAACAGATCCTCTAGTGTCGTTAACTACCGGTAACTTACGATAAAAATATAATTGATGGAAAATAAAATGATATGATGTGACATTATCTAATATACATATACATATATATATATATGTAGTGACATTAGCTTACTATATTATGAGTCATTCTCTCAGCTAGGGTCCCTTTCCGGGTTCTGTTTGTAAGAGCGCAGTGCTATACACTAACTTAGAGAACTACCCATAATATTGGTTATTAGAACTGTGAACATGAGATAAACTGCACTATTGGCATTCCTATGAGAGTCATGGATATGACCAGTGTCTTATAGTTATCATTGTTGCTACTTCTACTTGATTCATTCGAATGTCTTGCGAGCCGTGCTTGGGAGGCAGGGCTGACTCAAAAGATCAGAACCAAACACTGCCAGGAATCCCAACAGCAGACACATCCAACACAATCTCAGACAAACAAGGCGAACAAAAATACAACTAGCACCAACAAACAAGAGGCAAGCAAAAACAACCACAGCAAACAAAGATGTTATGCTATGTCGTGATCCGGTGCTTTGATGTGCTTTTCTTTGTCAAACCCGAGAATCTACACCCTGAGGATCTGATAGCGATGAGCGGTTAAGGAAAGGACCTTCCTTTCAGACCCGATGCTAATCGTTTGATCCCGAGGTGGCAAGATGTTCTCCATAGCCACGACTCATACAATATTCTGGCGGCTGCTTTGAATTGAAGATCTTTGAAGACTGACCTTTCGCGTGGGTCAAGCATTTAGAGTTCAATGAGTTCGATCAGCCTTGATTCGCAGCTGCTGGTAACAGCGCAATGGCAACTTTCCAGCGGCTTGCATGGCACCAGCGCAGGAACTTTGAGGGCTGGGCGATGCCACCGTTCCTCGGTCACTATGTTTCTGCTGTGCAGTTTTTAGTTCAGCGGACGCATGTCGTGCTATCGATACCAGGATGCTACAACTTCGGTTGACGACAACAACTAAGTGAGCAAAGGCTCTTATCAAGCCACCGCCGCAAGGCAATAGTGCCCTTGTCGGCCTCCGTTGGCATCCAGTAGGCCCTTGGCAAGCAGCAGCTGTCCACGACTAGGCTCAAATAAGGGTGGGCCACGGGAGGAATCGGAAGGAAACGTCAGAGGTTGCCCTAGAGCTCGTCTAAAGCCGGGTCTACAGTCGGGATGCATCAATCGAAGCTCTTTCCCTTTCAGAGCCGAGTTCTGTGCTGCATCCAGTCATTGCCGTGCCTGGGGGTGAATAGGTAAGCACAGACAACTTGTGACTTGTGGCTGCATGTCAATGTACTGAAGCAAAGACTTACAGACCTGTGGTTCCAATAAACGAGCCTGTGCGATGGCTCACTCCAACTGATGAGTGTCACATTATTGCCAAAAACGCATCAGGCAGTACAGCTTTTCGGCTTCAACTGCAGAAGACTGAGCAAGGTAGAGTCACAACGGCCAGTTGTTTGGGGCAGCACTTGGGACATGCATGCTAGCGCAAGCGCAACCCCGTGACGGGGCAACATAAACTACTGCAGGCACAGACTGGTGATGTTAGAGCATCGGCACTTCTTTGCAACAAACACTTGTGGGCGTGACATGCAGCGAATTGTTGATTCAGCAGTGTGATGACGCAATCACGGGCTCCAGTGAGCAGCTAGTCGTGCAAGGATGACCTTCGGATGCACCCAGGACAGCTAGAATGCTGCTTTCCTGGCGCCACATGAACCGAAGAAGTTCCAGACACACCTCTTTAAACTTGGGCATGTGAGAGCAAAGTCCTCCGTCATGCGTGGCAGGGCCGTGCCTGGAGCCGTTGATGCTTCTCGCGGTTTTTCAGAAGAACCCTCATCCAATGAAACATAAGGAGAATCAGAAGTGTTTGGTTAAACGCAACAATGGTCAGCACAAATAACAGGAAGTGGAAGGAGCATGACGATCAAAGCAGAACAGGATGACGACACTCATACACTCATAGAAACAACTAATGTGCTGCATGTAATGTTGTCGAGCTGGAATGTCGACTTCAGCTGTGATGCGATATCAGCCACACATGCATCACTGCAGAAAGTTGACAGGATTCGTTGAGTTGTAGTCGCACCACGTGCTATGCTGACGAAACGAGGCTTCACGCTCCACCCACGGCCCTTGCGATCCACTGCTTCGAAACGCCCGTAAAGCGCCGGCAACGATGCTGTCTGCAACTTTGAATCAGCTCGAGCCAGAGAAATTTAAAAGGGGTATGCAGCATGTCGAAGTCTGGATTGTCGGTTTCTCTCGCAACCCGTGAAATTGCGTAGGGTCTCAGACTCCTAGGACAGCACACGTTGCCGCCCGCTCGGCGCACTGGACGCTGGACTGAAGCTGCGTGGCGGAACCGCAGCATCAAATTAATGCATGCTTTATAGTCGGCGGTCCAGTCCCTATGCGTTCACCTCACAGGAACTGCCGGCTCTTCTGACAATCGGCTTTCGGACGCGCTGTCCCGCAAGCCCTCTTCATGTTGGAGCCTGCATTTCAGGCTTTCACCGGCGGAGTTTCTATCGAGGCCAATTTAAGGCACAGCTACAAAGATACCAGAACCGACACATGCTGACACCGAGAGAGGTGGCAATGAAACATGACCGAACGACAAGGGTATGACAGCATTTGCTCATCGGCAAGCTGCAGCTTCACAAGCTTACGGTGACCGAGATGATATGCCGCATCTAGGGTCAAAACTGTGAACAGGCTTTTGACGGTCGCTTTTGACGGTCTTACGCACTTTTAGAAAAGAAGTCCACAGGCTCCACATCACATCGTGCAAAACAGCACGGCAAGAGCAACACTCGCCGAAGTCGGCGTGCGATGGCCCATCGGGCAGGCGGTTCAGCGCCGGAACGGTTGATGAAGTAGAAGATATGTCAGGAGGGACGTACGAAACGATTGGCATGCCAAGCAGCTGCATGTGACGTGTTACATATCCTTCTGGCACACGTACTGCATCAAGTATCAGAAACTTTGCATGAAGCCTGTGCTCGAAGTAGTGTAACTCTGCAAGGCCACATTGAACGATAGGAGTCTGCGGGTTGTTGTGCAGCAGGCTTCAGCAGTGAGCATAGATAGCAGTACAGGCAATCAGCGCCGAGGGAAAGCCACCACAGGAGTTCCGATGTACGCTTCTGCCTCCTGACAGCATCAGGGAGGGTTTGGCATTCGCAGCCTGTTGAACGAAGAAGTACGGTGGTATTGAACTCACTCCGCCTAGCACCCTAGTTAAGCTGCTCGACAGTGCTCAGTGAGGCTGCAAACCCCCGAGCAGGGTCTCATTGATTACAAGTACAATGTCCATGTTCGCTCCTGCAGAGGCCGCGAAAACGCGGCAGGCGAGACGTTGCGCATGCGGGAAGGCGGAGAGGGAGGCTTCCTTTGCAGGTTCCGTCGAAACATGCCGAACTCATCACCTCGACTGACTCCAAAGCGTTGAACAGCTCTTCCAAGGACGCAGAGTGATGATACCTCTCGGCTCGTCACTAGGTCACATGAGCCGCTGCGATTTTCTTCGTTCCATAATGTGGAACTGTGAACTGCCTGATGAAGTAAAATTTGCCGAGGCCAGGGTGATGGCCTTGCAGGCCACAAAATGAGGAACCATCTGATTGCCAGTGCCCAAATTGCACCCAAGATCGTGCTACGGCGCAGGACGCAGGACTCACGGAACTCAGCCAAGGCTCACTGCAAAAGCTGTCGTCTCCTCCAGGCTGCGCAAGTAATGAGCAACAAGTCTTACTGGGAGAAGCAATAGTTTTCAAGTTTGGGGGTGTCGGCTTGAATGTTTCCCCCACAGCAGCGTCGACAACTCCCAATGCACAATGCCAGGGCATGTTGTAAAGACACACAGTTTAAACAAGGGAGCATCTCTCACAAGCCTGACGCAGCTCCAACGCCAGTCAAAAGCCCTGTGCCAAACCAGGCAGAAGTTGCACTCGTAGTGTCCCGGCTCGAGAAGATCGGGCTGGCAGGCGTGTTGACAGATCGGCACCTTGAGCAATATGCAAGTCACACATGCTCATTTCGCAGCTTATCATAATTGCCACTGCCAGCCAGTCCAACACTCGCCTCAGCTCTCAATACGCCAAGACAGCCAAGGCACGATATTTGTGGGGACCACAACACCCTCGAAGCAGATGCCGACGGCACAGGGGCCTGGGAGGCACCGCCGCAAGACATGTTTTTACAGCCTACATGCCCTCGTAGCCTGAGAGATGATTTCTGTTCGGTCTACTGGCGGCCATTACATCTCCAAACCTTCAGTAATCTCTGCCATCAAAACATGGTGAAGCTACGACAAAGAAGTCTGTAGCTGATACGATGTGCGCAAGCGGACACTAGCTTGCTTCACTAAGCGTACGTGATCAGCTTACACTTTTGACCTGAGCCTGTGCTCCGAAATCGGAAAGCAACTCAATAGGTACGGCGCTTGTACCACAGAATGGAAAAATATGATGCCACAAAAGAAAGGACCTTGCCTGCAAAGGCTGGCTTGTCAAAAACATGACATGTCCATATCTTCCAGCCCCGTGACAGCTGCCAGCGGCACCCGGCTGGGATCTACGAAGATGCTTTTGGCCTCTCCAGTTTGAGCAAGGATTCCAGGCCGAAACATCGGGTTCGAAGCCTTCCCTTAAAGAAGTTGATGAGGAGCCTTTGACCAAAACGTTGAGCTATGAGTGTGATTGATGACGATGTGTGGTATCATGTCTTATCACGATCTAAGGGATATGGTTCCACGGGTTTGGAAGTTGCGGCTTTGATGTCTTTAGTTCAGTTCTTTCGGTTCCATGTATTTGCCCGAAAGCAGTAGGCCCGTGAAGGAGAAACGATGAGCATCTATTTTACGAAGGCTGTACACTAGGTTTGAAGCACTTCCACTCTCGACCTCACCGTGTTGAAACACTTGACTGTGCGGCTGGCACGCCACTAATGCCCAAATTCAACTGCACTACGGCCCAAAAAACGCTGCTGACCGGGTAAGCCTCAGCTCTTTCCGGCCGGCACAATGTCAGGCAGTTTGCCCCCGATTCAATTGCAGGATGCTGCGCCACATGCTACACGTGCGGGCCGCACTTCCTGTTTCTGTCCTTTACATTATTTCACCGCCCGTTTGACATCTTCCCTGATGATAGCCATCAGTCTTGGGAAACTTCTCTGTTACCCATTATTCACGCTCTGAGCCCTTCCTCCGTTTCTGTTCTCCTTGCACCTCATGCAAGTCGAGAGAGCCTCCACAGGTCTCCCGGGCGGACAGCTGCCCAGAGTGTTGCGGCCAGCACAGCTCGCGCAGGAGCCGTCCATGCCTGGGCTTCGAACCGCGATCTTCCAAAGGGGAGGGCAGAGTTTGGACACTGGCACTCGGACAATCCAGGTAAGGTCCCAAGCCGTACCAGGGTGGAAGGGGGCCTTTGTGTTGGTCTACGACTACTCAGCAACATTCCACTAATCTTTGTAGCAAAAGCCTGGTACCGAGCCAATGTCACCTGGAATTGGTGACCGTTAGATGCCACTTGTTGTGGATGCTCTGAGCTTCAAAAACACGTCTACCCTTAAAACCAACTCGGTGTACTCAAGTCTCCTCATCGATCCTGATCTTTCGACCCTCACACTTGATTGGTTGCAGTCCAATCCTACTACGCCTCATTTTTCAAAAACTTGTTGCCCGGAGACCCAGCTGTACAGCACGAACTGTGGAACTCGGACTACATGGTATCTACATGGTGCACGCGCTCCAGGCTGTGTAGGTGGAAAGGTGGCGTGTAATACCCTTGAACCTACCACGCACTGCCGTGCCCAGTATAGCGCAGCAGGAAGTCGCCCTCACGACTAAGATCGTGACAGATTTCTATTGCGTCCCAGCCGACAGCTTTAAAGACTCTGCTGCCGATTCAATAGATGTGGCGAAAGCTAGAAGTGCTGCTGCACTTGCAGAATGTACGTAACCGGATATCAGATCAACCAGAATGCTGGTCTTCAGTTAAGTAAAGCTCATGAGACTGCGTCATTGTGACTTCCAATACATATAGCCATGCCTGAAGTGTGTTCGATTTTGTGGCTTTGGACGAACTCGGACTGAGGACTGATGCCAATGCAGCCACGGCACAGCCACAGCAGTTGGACGGAGGCAGCGCGATGTTCGAAGTTTGATTCTGCTTTTTGGGCATGGCCTCTGCTCTTATGCATGCAGCTCGCTATCTTCGTTTCCAGAGCTCGACTCACTCTCGACTCTACGTCATGTCCCGTGCAGGGGCTCTGGGCAGACATTAAGCTCGAGAGATGCCATTAGTATTAGGTGGTAACCCCAGAATGCGATCGAGAGGCCGGGGGTACCACCAAGCGGCCATCCGAGTCAGGAACCGGCACTTGAATGCTGTGTGCTTTTTTGCCCGTCTGTGCCTGCCCACAGTGGGCATATGCCTGCCTCGGTCGAGCTGTGGCTCGCAACAGATTTGCTCATCTATCGGCCACTGCCCTCATGAAGGCAAATGGACCAGAAAGGGAAGTGAAGGCAACTGTCTGCCAGAAGAACGACAAATCAGCAAGACGTGGCAAGATTAAGCAAAAGGGCGTCTAACATCTCGATGTCGCCCTGATGCACACGAAGGCAGCGGTTTCGTGCAAGAACCATTGCACGCCAAAGGCACTTGCTGATGTTTGCACCAGGAGGGGTAGCGGTATGGGACAGTGTTCGCGTAGAAGCCACGATACCTTGGAAAACAAGCATAGGCAAGTTAAAACCAAAGAAAGCCTTGCACCTCGGATCTCCAACAGCAAGCACAAGGACCCAAGAATAGCTACATCTTCAAAAAGTCATGCAGTGTCTTCATTGCCAAGCAATGCCTTAAGCAGAAGCTTTACACTAAGCACTGGAGGACAAAAAAACAGAGGCCCAAATGAGTCCGGGTGCTGTCCTGCCTGTCGTGCACTCTCTCGCGGCTGACAGTACGTCTCCCGAGACTGATGCCTGAGATCTCGTTTTCACTACTACTACTACTACTACTACTACTACTACTAGCCCTAACTACTACTACTACTACTACTACTACTACTACTCCTACTCCTACTCCTACTCCTACTCCTACTCCTACTCCTACTCCTACTCCTACTCCTACTCCTACAACAACAACAACTACTACTACTACTACTACTACTACTACTGCAACTACAACCACTGCGACGACGACTACGACTACGACTACGACTACGACGATGACGACTACTACTACTCCTATACTCCTCCTCCTCCTCCTACTGCTGCTGCTGCTGCTGCTGCTGCTACTACTACTACTACTACTACATCATCTGCTACTACTACAACCACCACCACCACAAGAATCAGGACCACAAACCCTGCTACTCCTACTGCTGCTACTGTTGCTGCTCCTACGACGACGATTACTACGAGTACTAACGCCAACAACTACACTCAAAACTCAAAACAATACTGACAATTGTCCCTACTGCAATGCTGACAAGAGTAGTCGAATGCTGTCACCTGCTGAGCACCGGGCCCTGAATCTGCACCTCTTGCGTCTTGTCGAGGCTTTGACCGGGAACCGTAGTAATGAGACGCTTCACGGCCTCAGTAATGTCGACGTCACTGTTGGGTGCTGTGGATCGCGGGATGCAGGGTCTAGAACACTTTCTCTGACAGCTCGGTGTTCCCCCCCCCCCCATGTCCCACCTACCCAGCTGAACTGTGCCCGTGCTTTGAAGCTGACTGGGGCAAGCAGCCATGGTCATGAGTTTTGTCCCGGCCGGGAAAGGCAGGGGGCGAGTGATCCAAAGATTTCATATCCAAGTTTTAAATCGATGCAAAAATGTGTATTATGTCTAAGTTTCCCAAGTCCTGGTCTTCAGGCTGTGGCCTCCAACTTGGTTTCGAAGTCCTCCATGAGCCGAGCAGACGTCCTTCAGCATGCCCAAGTCTAGCTTTACCATGCTTTACCAACTTACTGTATAATGCAGGATGTGGCCAAGCAGTCATAGGTCGTGTACCTCTGATGAACTCCAAGCGAGTCTTCATTAGGCCACGGGACACTAATTACCGAGATCTACTTTGCGCGACACTCCGGGACACTCCAGACTCAAGTCACAAGCTGCCACAAGCTTCTCCGTGTTGCTAAATTGTCCTTCGGAGAGCCGTGGTGGCCTCGTCCCGCGTGGCCTGGACAAGCCCGTTCTAAAGCAGCCTCTCAGCTCTCCTTTAACAATCTTTAATCAAATGGTATGAGAGCCATAACCGCTCAACCTCTACGGTAATCCGGGACACTTTGATACTCGCTTCGCCAACCTCTTGTGTTCTATGCGCGACAGCACATTCCACATGAAGAACCGCACTGTGCCAAATGCCGCTGCACTTTCGTGCCGTACAGACAGCATGTGCGGCTGCCTGCAGCTCATCCAGGATGCTTTTGAATGTCTTTTCAGGCCTTAGACTGCCGCATGTGAACGCGAAGCACCCAAACGGTTGTGAAACGAAGCCGAGGCCTGCTGCATGATCTTGATTGCAAGGCGGAAACTGAACAACGCAACCGGTACTGCGAAGACTAGCCAACAAAGTGACCAGTCCCAAAGAAACACTCAATTCAAGTCCAAGTGCCACCGCCTGTCTTGTCTCACTGCTTGGTTGCCGGCTAGTGCTTTTATGTGTCTCATGTGTCTCGATGCAGCATGCTCCCCGTCGTCGTGTGGTGTGATGCCCACTCAACTATATGACAGCTATCATAAGGATGCACAGGGGAAGGAAACTATGCGGCCCCTAGGGCTCGGGATGGGTTTCATCTAAAGAAATGAGAGGTGCCCAGCAATCTGGTGCAATTTCTCATGGTGGCTTCGGGTCCAGAAACCCCGCGCAAGGGACTACATGTCTGAACTTGGGGAAAGAGCACCTGCAAGTCGAAGCACAAAATACCCTGGAACCTTTCCGGGATCATCCCTGAGGCGGGCAAGATCACACATGAGCCCAAAGATGAGCCCAAAGTACACACCACGCTGTGGTGGGAGCACAACGTCGGGTATTGCCACATTCCTAAAACCTCTTCGAGCGGAGGGATTTCGAGACCAAAGCAGCCATAGCATAACAGGGAACCCGTGGAGCCTCGATTCATGACAAGTTGAATATAAGAATATCAGTACTCATTAGTAATGGCAGAGGCTTCCGTGAGCATTTTAGACGTCGACGCCTTGCATACGAAACAGGGCTCCAGGCACAGGATACTCAGGATACAATACAGGACACCATGTGCATTTCTCATCTACTACTAGGTCTTCACTGCTCATGTTACAATATTGCGCTCCTTGGCTGTATACGGTATCTGCAGTAGCTGTTTTTTTGATTATTGTTCTGTTTCCCGATAATACCGAAACATGTCTCGGCTCCAGCGGCCACATCTTCGGAGAATCATCTGTCTAAAAGGATCACGGAATCCTCTGCCAGCAAGCAGCGCAGCCAGCGCTGCTTGAAGCTGCGATGTCTGCGCTTCCTGCGGGGCCAGACTTGCAGGCATAAGGCTCACTCTCAACCTTCTTTCAACATCTAACTAATCTAACTTCCAGTGAGAAAGTGTCCTGGGCAGCGATGCGCACCTTTGCAATTGGCAGGTTGTGCACTCCAGTGGTTCGACGCGCGCTGCTCGCTTCCAAGAGTACAACTACACTTAGTCCGACAGGATGCAAGCGGATCAGACCGAAATAGCTACTAAGACCTAAAGGATCACCAATAGAAGGGAGCAATCGCGAGTTCATCTCGGAAACTACAAGCAATATTCGTGTTGCAGCCGTGATACCATCATCTCCTGCAACCGTCCCTTGGCATGTAGCATCTGAGGGGTGGAGATTCGATCTGGGGTGTCGTTTGCAGAGGATGGGGCTCAGGGCCCTGGACAAGGCAGCACACGCGCTTTGTTTGCCAGGGCGGACAGACGGGTGCAGCTTCCAGATAATTAGGCAGCAGGATTTGCGTAAAGGTCGTAAGGCCTTGAGCACTGTGACTGCTGTCGTTCTACTCCGGAGCAATGGAGCACCTGCATGAGTGTTCTGTCAAACTTCTGATAGCATGTGCAATGTGATGGAATCTCGTATTGACACACCCTCCCACCACGCACACTAGATGCCACACTCGCCCCCGAGCTTCAATCTGCAGACAAGGAACTTCCAAAGACCCCCCAGTCTTGCTGGACGATAGATCTGGCTTGCCTCCCATGCGCACAGCCCACTAGGAGTAAAGTGCAACACAAGCTTGATATCTAACTTCAGAATCGTAGTAGGGGTCCAGCTTGTGCACAAGGGTAGTTAGAGGGGCGAGGCAACGGTTGGATCAGTCTAGTACTTCTAATTCCGATGCGACAGACCATGTTTATTTTTTGAATGCCTTTTTCCGACTCTAGCCTTCACAATCCGCAAGTTGCAAAAGCCAAGTTTGCCCTCAGACACCTGCTCTCACCCTGGTACTGCTCATCCTTGATGGGAACCCTTTGCCACATCCGTCCGTTCATCTTGGCCTTCAGTCCCTAGGGACTGAAGCTGCCCTCCTGTCAACGGCGATAAATGTCTTCATACCCACTGAAGTCCAGCCATGGAAGCATTTCAGGCTGCGTGACAGTGTTCACGGTCAAGCTGGAGTGCCTGGGCTCGGCCGCTGCTTTTTTCTTGACCTCCACCCCTGCAAACGATGTCTGTACTGGGATCGTCGACACGTTCTAAACTCAGGCTGCATGCTGGCTCTGAGAGTTATCGTTGGCGGCTCCCCTGCCATCGGAACCTCCCAGGCCAGCGTGTGTTGGACTCTGGGGCGGTCACCCGACCCGGAGGCCGCCTCCACAGTCAACACACATCCGTTTAGCTGCCGGCGACGATGTCCAGCTCATCGCAGCCTGGAATTGACGTTGTTCCCATTCTCGATACTCCAAAGCTTCTTCGCAAAGGTGCCGCCTCCTCCTCCTCCTTTGCCTCACGTTGCCTCTGCCACTCACGTTCTCCGGCTTCGTCCTGTATCAAGTGCTCCAAGTCCCTGTCCGCCAGCTCAGTCTGGTCCATCGGTTGCATGGTCTTCGCGAGTCCACAAGTATGGGCATCTGCACCAAGCGGAAGCCAGGCCGATAGGCGACAAGGTGGCGATGCCACTGCGCAAGCTAGGCCCAGTCCTCCGTAGTCTCCGCTGCCATGGCGACCAGTAGCCCTTGCAGCTGTGACCACCAGAGTCCTCCCGGCTGACCAGGACCCACCGTTTTTGCATCCGAAGCATAAATTGCTCTCGCCCACTTCTTCTCGCTTGTGTCTCGTCCCGCGGCCACCGCATAGGTCTGCATCAAGATCTCCTCGTTATCTTCACGAGCGGTGCCGGTGGTGTCACCTTGTGTCTGGTCCGAGCAATTGCTTCGGACCGTTTGGAGAGTTCGCACATGATGTACCTCAGCACAGTTATAAGAGCAACTGTCGACAAGCGCCGATTCTGCTGGCACATGCGTTCGTGCTGGATACTGACATCCCGCAACATGGCCTTGGGGAGAAACGTCTCCGGCAGTTTCCAGCGATCTCCTGCCCAACACCGTGTTGTTGAACAGGAGGTACCGCCACATGATGATAGCTTGAGTGTGAGTCATGGAATGTTGAGGTCTGGGAGTACAGGTCGACCTGGCCTCCCGGCATTGCATCCCTGCTTCATGAAGCTGGCTGAGGACAAAGCAAGACTCACAAAGCTCATGATCCGCGCCAATGGTGAGGTGCGAATCCACATGAATTTGCCACGAGAACAAGCGCATGTGACCGAATGCCATGACGTCAATGCATTGCCCGTGCCTGGCTGCCTGCCTTGGCCTGCTTGTGGGAGTGCGGAACTGGCATGGCGACGGCACCCCCATTGCGAGTCCCCTCTCGACCAACGCTTTAGGGAAGATGTTGCCCTTGCCGTCTTTAGTGACCCCATCCCGGTCCTTGCGCCATCCGAACAGGGTAAAGTGAGCAATCCCCACCCGCAATTCCAGCGGGCGTTCAAGATGCTGAAGCTTGTACCAGGAACCCTTCTTAATTTGTATGCACCTTCCGAAGCATGCACCATCCACAACCGGTTCCCCTCCATTGGTTCTCCGCCCTGAGCCCTGTGTGCGACGACTTTCCTCCCTGCCAGATCGTAGTGCTTCCATCCCCGGACATCCCTAAGTACCTCTTGCAGAAGAACTAAGTCGCTAGGTCCTCTCTTTGCAACATGATTACCTTGGGCAATGACGAGAGTTCCGCTCCACCACCATGCCAGCCCCATACAGAAACTCGCCGATTCCGATGCTCTGGTAGCAACGGCCAGGATTCCCCATCAGAGACCGAAGCCGACGGCGCGGGCCCCAAAGCCACAGGCGGAGTCGGCGAGGGACACATGTCAGCGGGTAGCTCATCCCAGAACTTGTGCTCTTAATGCTGAACTTCCGCAAGGCTGGTGTCTACCCAACGAGAGAGTGTGCGTTCGATCGTCAGTCCATCCATCTCTGGCTCGCTCACCACTTTAGCGTGCCGGACCTTATTGGGTTTGTCTTGCATACCGCTAAGCTGGTCCTCCTTGATCCAAGTCCTCCCAGTCGTGTATTCCACGTCCAAGTCCAAAGTGCGGCGGGGAGCAAACCTGAGGACGACCTTCCTGACGGCAGCAGCAAGAGACGTGCGCCCCCGCTCCTCCGGCGTCTTGATGAGCATCGGAGCGGTTTACTGGCCCCCTCGAGGTTCACCTTGCCCGCATTCACGGTCTGGATGATCTGCAGCATGCGTTCGCGTAGCTTTCCTGCGTCGGTTGCCGGTACTCGAGGCACCACTGGTCTAGCCTCCAGCTTCGGCCCCTTTCCGAAAGCTCCCTGATCTGATCCTGCATTCAGGGAATGATTCCATCCATCGCAACCCCGTTGGTTTCGACCCGCCTGTCCTCAAAAGCTTTCAGGGACATCGTGAGTTGTGTCTTTTGCGCCTGCAGTATCGATACGGACAGTTTCTGAAGAAGTGTTCTGATGGAATCCATGGTCACGTGTTCAGCCGCCGCCTGTTCACCCTTCGGTCGCTTCTCCTGCGGGCCCTCATCTTGCAGGTCAAATAATCGAACCGTCGGATCGTGTAGGGCACGTTCAGCAAGCCCCCGGCGCTGCCCATCCAGCCTCGCCGAGGCATGGCCGGATGCCGCTACCACCAGGATGCGACACGAGTGAGCGAACCCTCGAGCCTTGAGCCAAAACGGCTCAAACAAGGTTTGGGCTCGGGGCTCGGGGTGTGATCCGACTGCATGGCCAAATAAGGCCAACTAAGCCACGTGGATTTCGTTCCTGCTTGGGTCTTTTGCGATTTGAAGCATGCGAAAAAGCCAAGTCTGAGCGGGGCTGTGTATTCGTTCTTCGACCCGACGAAGACCAAGACATCACCCTCATAGGCAAGACGAAGAGAAACATCGACCTGGCGACACCTAAGAACTCTGAGGCGTTCCCCACTTATGGTGCTCTAAATGTGATAGAATAAAATAGAATGGAATAGAATCCTGGTAACCTGGTACCCCCCTCCTCCCATCTTCGACCTCGGATGCTCTGCTCTATGAGCATCCGCAGCTCTGCCACATCCCTCGCGCGGCACTGCTCTTCAAGCTCGATCCTAGGAAGTCTCAAGACAGGGGCTGCGAGGCTAGGGCTTGGGGCGGTCGGTGGGTCTGCAGCTAACCAGTGCATGTGACACACATCAGCCAGCATCTCACGCATCTACAAGTAAGAATGCCATTGGGGGTGAAGGTTGGAAAAGATGCCGCTGCGGACACGTCCTTGTCCCGCTGATCCCAGACATTGACACTCGCAGACCCTATGCTGCCAAACAGCATCTGCACCAGTGCCTCCCACCGTGCCTGGAGTTTCGAGGCTGTCTCTCTTTGTCTAGCAAAGTTAGGACCACCCCGCTCTTCCACAGCAAGAGCCGCCTGTGCCATCTCCAGATCGGTAGAGCAGCTGGCTGGCGTTACATCCTGGTGGCAAGAATGCAAATCGACGAGTCTTCCTGCCACAGCAAGACACCCCGAGCCGGCCAAGCTGGCGCCCCCAAAGCCCGTCTTGTTTTGGCACCACCAGCTCCAGCATCCCTGTCCTGATTCCTCACTGGGATTTTGTGGTCCTTGGTGCTCAGGTTGGGCTTAGGGCAGGGCTGCGACACTCACTCGGACCTGCTCGGACACTGCAGGCGAGGCTTGCTGCAGCCAGTCGGTCGAGGCCAACCGAAGTAGCCAAACTCAAAACGTATTGCGGCAAACCAGCAATTGACCACCGACACTTTTGCGTCAAGTGGGAATCCAAATCCAAACCAACTCCCATAAGCATCGCTCATTTGCTTCCAAAAACTTTTCTGATTATTCACTCGTAGGGGCCGGAACGGAAGCAACAGAATAGCACACCACTGCCACAACGTGTTTGAGAGCTGCCAAGGCTCCTACACTGCCGGCTTCGCACCCCCCTAATGCAACGTCTCCTGCAACCCACAGCCACTACACGAGCGCCACGAGCGCAGGAACAAGACTCCCAGTGTTTTCGGGTTCAGATTCATGTAGATGCTCAGCCTTCACCTTTCGGATAAATGCTGATCAAAGCGCCCGGCCAGGCCAAAAACAAACTGAAAATGACGATCAAAGATCGAACTTGACTAAATGGAGGCATGTAAAGCAGTGAGGCCAAGGAGCCATGAAGAGCCCAGACCTTGAGGGCGATGCCACAAGCCGCGGTGAACCGTCTGATTTCCGCGGCGGCATGAGGAAGGGGTCCTCGTGCTCTCGGCGCTTGGTACACACACACACACACAACGAAGAATCAGCCCCATCCTTTCAATTCGCCTCGCGGTCCCTGCACCCCCCGCATTTGTCGCGCAGTGATGTGGAGACAACTCTTCACCTTCGACCGGGCTGAGGCAGACGACGCGCAGCGTTTACACACACTGGAAACCGACGAGTCCGAGATCAGATCTGGCTTCGTCTATCTGGCCGGTCGTCACGGCTACTTTGGCATCGGCAAGGCCATCGTAAGGCCACCCTTCCTCCCCCTCCCCTCCAAAATAGTCCGACTGTATGAGGTTCCACTACGAGTCGGCTTTCCACTGCGAGTCGGCTTAGGAGCCGTGCGAACAGCATCCATGGTTCAGTCGTGAGCAGACCTTGCGAAGCAAGACAAGAGGCATCGTGTTGCTTCAAGAGGTTCTCCATGCTTTGCAGCTGCTGAGACAACGAGGCCAATTGCCGAGCATGGTCCTGCGCTGCGTGTTCGGTAACCGTGGAAACCCTTTCAGAAACACTTACCGCCACGGCCACCCAACATGACAGGCCATGCTGTCGACTTCTGCTCGATGGCTGCTGCCAGTACTCCGGATGCTGCCACTGCTGCTGGAGTGCTACAGCTGCTGCCGCTGCTGCCGCTGCTGCCGCTACTAGTACTACTACTACTGCCACTACCACTACTACAACTACTACTACCACTACTACTACCACTGCTACTACCACCACCACCACCACCACCACGACGACTACTACTACTACTACTACTCCTCCTACTCCTGCTGCTGCTGCTGCTGCTGCTGCTGCTGCTGCTGCTGCCACGACGACGACTGCTGCTACGACTACAAACCCCAAGCTCCTGAAACCCTAGGCATAACAATCCCCAAAAATCTTGAAAA